AATGTTTTCCCCCCTCCCATTCTGCCCTTGTATCTTTGCAGTCATTGTATACAGCAGATTCTAGAAAGTGTTAATCATTGTCACCTAAATGGCATAGTGCACAGAGACCTCAAGGTCAGTATCTGGTGCCCCGTAGGTTTGCTAAGACTTTTGTTTTATTATTATTTTATTTGTTTTTGTCTCTCTCCTGTCTCTCTTCTTCTTCTTCTTCTTCTTCTTCTTTTCTTCCCGGCTTGAGTTTTAAGGGTGGGTTGGCTGAGAGGTTCCCTTGGCTATCCTCCTCACCCTTAATATGAGAAATGGATAATGCATGAGGCTGCTTTCCACTCTGCAAGTGTCACAGGTTTAATGTCCATCACAGAAAAAGGTAGAATAGGTACTGCTAATACAGAGACCTTCCAAGAGATGTGGTAGGTGCCATAGGTATCAGGGACCGTTTTGGAAGGAGGTAACCTCAGTCCTGTAGCCTGTATCTGTGACTGACCTTTGTCTGTGATAGATGTTAGCCCTGCAGGTTTAAAAACACCACTTCTGTTCAGAGACAATGGGTTATTGTAGCAGAATGACTGGTTATGCATTGCTCTGCTAGAGTAGGATAGATCCCTCAGGCAACAGGGATCAAATAATTGCTTGGCTAAATGAAACCATGAAGGGTGAATAATTCATCTCAAATACAAAACTACTTAAAGTAAATTTACTTTCAGGGTTACTGGTGGAAAAAAAGGCCTCCAAGGCGAGTAAAGGAGGGAAGGAACAAACTGCATCAGATATTTAACCCAAGTTTGTAAAATGGGTTTATCAGAGCAATGATATGCTCTCATTGTCCACTTCTCAATATAATATGCATATGCCCAACAATACAACCTTCAACCCTTTTGTTGAGCCTGGACATATCGCTACCCCCCTCCTGTTCATGCCCTACATAAAAGTGGGCTAAAGCATGATGTGTATTTGCAGTGCACATTCACAATGTCTGAGGAAGTAGCTGTTCTAGAGGAGGAATGCAGAGCCATACATTTTTAAGAGGTTGTGAATCACAATCTCAGCCTGTTCATCATTTTGCACTTTAACCCAGTCTCACTGAGGTTATACAGACAGTGAGTGTACAGCTTCAAACTAATATACGCCCCCTGGTGTTTGCATGCAGTCATTGCATTCAGCAGATCCTGGAGGCTGTGCTACACTGCCATCAGATGGGCGTAGTCCATCGGGACTTGAAGGTGAGTAATGCTGTGGGGGAAGATAATCATATTACACAGATTCAAAGCACTACATAGCTGCATTTTTGCATCTAGAAGCAAAGAGATGCCCACTGGTTATTTTGCAAGTTGTTTATGGTTGCAAAAGCAGGCAACTATTTTTTCCTTGCAGATTTAGGATTCTTGTGATTTTTCTTCGCTTACTTTATTCCCACCTCTCTATATACATATTAATTCAGCTATGCGAATACAGATAAGGTTAATCAGTTTTCCCATATGATTAGTTTCATCAGTTTTTTCCCCTAATGTTACATTGTTGACCAGCAGTTCCAATTGAATTTTTTAAAAAATCCTTACACCTAAAATATACAGTGAGCAAATGCAGAACAGTAGTAATAATTATGAGCCAATGGTTTGTCATTCTTTTGGAACTTAATTCAGGACTTACATGCAAATACACATAAATGCACACATTCTTTTCATAAATTTAGAGCAACATGTGTTTTGCAGGTTGTAACAGTAATATCTAAAAAAAAACAATCTGAAAACTAAGCAGAATCTCATAGAACATTTTAAAGCAATTTCTTTCAGTTGCTCCCTGTTTAGATGAGATCTGTAATAAACTATAGAGCTGCCTGTTATTCTCGCAATACATTTTCAGAAGGAAATTTAGACCCAATGGGGCATCTGGAATTTACTAATAGATTTCATATTGTGAACATCCATCATAGCAAATCTGCATGGTTACTTAAGATAATAGTAGTTCCGTCTAGCAGTTATTTGGAATGGTTTATTCCTAAACTAGATCTAGTGTGCATTTGATAATATTGTGATTTGTCATTAAAAAAAATCTTGTTTTATTTTGCCAGCTAGGTCACCACGTATGTAGATTTTAAAATATAAACTTAGATGTGTAATATTCTTTTAGGATATCCTTTATACATACAGTTTAGATACTAACACAAAATATGTTGTATGCCTCTTTTATCAATATTATAATAAAGAAGCTCAAAAATTATTGCTTTCTGTCTACTATATGCACATCTGCAGCTAAAGTGCAACTTTGTGATCCACACACTGACCTGTTCCTTTTTTGGATGGAGTCTCAAGATTCCATCTCTGTTTAAATCCCCCATATTTTTGTCCAATTGTGTACATTTGCCCCAACCTATTCAGAACTCATGCATGACAAATCTATTGACATTTCCATCATCCTGAACTGGCTGATGCATGGTTTTTTAAGGGCATAGTCAGTTGCCCAGAAGTCAGATGAGCTTGCTATTGAGTGTATGGCTGCTCTGTAATTATTGGACCATGTTTCTTTCCTTATGACTGTGATATTTGCTTCACATATTTATGTCCAAAGTTACTTGTTTGCAATATTCAGTGGTTCTCATGGACAATTAGGTTGTTATCCTAGTTTTGTGTTGTGCAAGTTCTAGGTATTTATCTATCAAAGTGCATAATGTAATACAATGTACTCTAATCTGAGTTTATGAGAATTTTTGAAATTCCACTCCCAAACATCCAGAAAGTTCAAGTTTAGACAGAAGCTGGTTTAACATCACAGCTCCTGCTTAGGAATTTGAAAGTTATAGATAGTAAGATTATCAACGCTTTCTAAGAACTCTGCTCTACTAACTTTTTTCTGCCTTAATAAACCTTGCAGATTAATTAGCCTGGAAAACCGCTTGTAAAATTGATTGCACTTCTTGTTATAATAATTTTTTTTAAAGTTTAAATTCCAAAATTGAAAAAAATACAGGTAGTCTTCAACTTACAGCAGTTCATTTAGTAACTGTTCAAAGTTACAATGGCAATGAAAAAAGTGACTTATGACCATTTTTCACAGTTACGACCATTTTAGCATCCTCATGACCATGTGTTCAAAATTAGGATGCTTGGCAACTGACTCATACTTATGTTTGTTGCTGTGTCCCAAGGTCATATGATTTTCCTTCTGCGGTCTTTTGACGAGCAAAATCAATGAGGAAGCCAGATTTACTTAGCAACTATGTTGCTAATCAACTGCGGTGGTTCACTTAACCACTGTGGCAAGAAAGGTCGTGAAATGGGATGAAAGTCATTTAACAAATCTCTCACTTAACAACAGACATTTTGGTTGTAAGTCGAGCACTACCTGTAGCATTAAGTATGTTTAGATCAGTGTTTCTCAACCTTGGCAACTTGAAGATGTCCGGACTTCAACTCCCAGAATTCCCCAGCCAGCATTCGCGAATGCTGGCTGGGGAATTCTGGGAGTTGAAGGCCGGACATCTTCAAGTTGCCAAGGTTGAGAAACACTGGTTTAGATATAATGGAATATTGACATTTTAAGATGATTTTAACGATATTACAAGCTAGACCCTAAGACTACTGCAACTGAATTATAAGGAAGTTTGATTTATTCCTGATATCTAGCAGTCATATAAATTTTCACAAGACAGATATAGGTAACATTTCTAGGTAATGTATCCTTTTTGTAATAAATCATGTTGATGATGTATCTATCTTTAGCAAAGAAACATATTTGAGCCTTGGTCTCATATCAGTAATTGGTTATAAGTGACCATAACGTTTCTTACAAGAAGAATGTGTTGAAGAAGTGATTCTATGGGCCATGTAGTATTGTCAAGAAGTGTTAAAGAGCTTGGCATTCTGGGAAATTCAGGCCAACTAATCTGATGGCCATCAGGCTAGAGAAAGTTAATAATCCTATAATGTGGGAAAACTTTGTATTGCCAAATAAAATTTGTAGATACTTGATAGACCATCTTAGAAGCTTCTAAAAGAATTTCTAAAGAGAAGAGAGGGTTTAAAAATAAAACAGAACTAAAAACAGCCCTATTCTAAATAATTTGTAGATTTGGGATCCATATAAAATTTCTCAGAATCAAACTTTTATTACTTATCTTTGAAAATAGGAAAAGTGTGTTTTCTCTGTCTCCAACTTAATCTATATAAAGTAAGTACCAAATTAAAAATATTGACTTATCTTCTACTTTCTTTTTTCTTCTCTTCTGTCCTACATAAAGCCTGAGAACTTGCTTCTAGCGAGCAAGTCAAAAGGAGCAGCTGTAAAACTGGCAGATTTTGGATTAGCAATTGAAGTGCAGGGTGAACAACAGGCCTGGTTTGGTAAGAAAAAAAAAATCAGTTTGTATTATACCTTCCCATTTATCCCAACATCATTATATTATATGTGCCATTAGTGTGCCTGCAAATGGGACATTAAAGAAATCTACAGATTTGCAAAAGTTGCCTGAATTGACACTATACCATTGAATCAAACATCCATTTTTCTCCAGTCAGAAATCTACATTAACCCTCATTCCCAAATTCATCATCATTGTCTTTTAACAACCCCATAATTCCTTGCGGGGTGGAGTCTGGGCAACCAAATGGAGCAAGCAGAGTGTTTTAATGGCCAGATGCCCTTCCTGTTGCCAGTGCGGAGTTTTGTTCATCAGATATATTCTCAGTGTGCCCAGAGAGAGAAATATGATCCTATGATCAAACTCACAGCCTCCTGATCGTGAGGAGAGGGTTCCACCTCTAGGCTACTACACCATTCCTCCTCACCCCTAGATTAAAAGCATAAAATGCACAAATTTTTTTTAAAGGAAGTTGTATGTAAAAAGCAAATGTGACTGTTACCTGTACATATTAGCTTACGTTGGAGAGAAATTTTTTGAAAGATCTACATAAAAAGATTTTGAAAAAGTTCTCCCAAAATCTGTACTTGTATAGGAGATATTAAAAACTCTATGCAATGAACAAAAATTCAGATGATGGGAGTGTTAAAAGGGATGTGGTTATGCCAGAGGTTTTCTTTACCATTGAAAAAAAAAGAAATCATAAATTGGTTGTTCTTTTCAGTTTTTCAAACTATTCAGAACCCAGACAAATCCCTAAATTGAGCTCCTTTCAAGCTTGGCAACTTTACGATGTGTGAACTTCAACTCCCACTGTACTGGCTGGGGAATTCTGGTAGTTGAAGTCTACACTTCTTAAAGCAGCCAAGGTTGAGAAACGCTGCCCTAGAGCATAAAACAAGTGAGAAGCTGAAAGGGTAAATAAGAAAGGGTATTAAAAAAAAGCATTGGTGTAAGTTTGGAAGTGATTCACAAATGTTTCTAACAGGTAGCCCTAGAATTATGGCTGCAATTGGGTGCCAGAATTCCCCTTGTTAAATAAGGTGGCCGTTAAGTGAGCTGTACCTGATTTTATGACCTTTCTTGCCATGGATATTGAGCAAATCGCTGCAGTTGTTAAGTGAATCGGGCTTCCCCTAGGATGCTGTAATTATAAATGCATGCTGGTTGTCAAGCACCCAAATTTTGATCGTGTGACTGTGGAGATGCTGCAATTCTCATAAGCATAAGGATAGGTTGTAAGTGACTTTTTTCGGTGCTGTCGTAACTTTGAACAATCACTAAACACATTTTTGTAAGTTGAGGACTATCCGTATTATAAAAAAGATAGAAAGCAATAGCACTTAGACTTATATACCGCTTCACAGTGCTTTACAGTCCTCTCTGAGTGATTTACAGAGGCAGCATATTGTCCCCAACTATCTGGATCCTTATTTTATCCACCTTGGAAGAATGGAAGGCTGAGCCAACCTTGAGCCTGGTGAGATTTAATCTGCCAAACTGCTGGCACCCCAGTGATCAGTAGAAGTAGCCTGCAGTACTGCACTTTAACCACTGCGCCACCATTCACTGTGTCATTCACTGCGTCAATGAAAATTTTGGGTTCAATGGAGGTCATAAATCAAGGACTATCTGTAAACTAGGAGATATTTGGTTTAAGGGCATGCAGATGAACAGGTTAGGCAAATCTAGGTGGGAAAAGCTAGAGAATCTACCTCAGAAGGATGGAAGGCTGAGTCACCCTTGATGATNCAGTAGCCATTTCCTATCTGTAAGGGAAGGCAGTCAGAGGTGGTATTCTACCAGTTTGGATAGGTTCGGCCGAAATTGCGGGTGGCCCTGCCCACCTGCCCCAGCTCTATTGCATCCCGTTTAGGCCCTTTTTTCACCAAAAGCACATGCGTGGAAGGCTGTACTCATGCACAGAGGCACGCATGCTCACATTTGCGAACCAGTAGGGAAAGTAAGTGAATACCACTCCTGAGGCCAGTGCATTCTAGGTAACTCTGGTTCATGATGTCCAGACAATATCTCTGAGAAATCCATGTTTATAACTACTGATAACTATTTATGGAATAGACAAATTTGATGGACTTTCTCAGGGGGGATGTCTAAGAATGAAGAAAGAATTATAAAGAACAACACAAATTATATAAGTATAGCACATAATATTGACACTGGCAATAGTTATTCTAATACGGAATAAAAGGCAACTGTAGTCTGTGAATTCTGATCAGTTCCTGGTTTCTAGCTGGAGTTAAACCAGAATTTCCAGGTTAACAAAGCCAGGATGTTTTCTGCAGCAACATTTAAGCGATTTTGAAGAGAAATTAGGAGAAAACATACAAGCAACCCAATATTATTATATCCGAAATAGTCCGTTGCCTGGTTTAAATTATGTATGTTACTTTCTGTGAATTTTTCATTTTATCAAGACAGATAAAAATATTTCAAACAAAAGAAAATCCCATTACAATTTAAGCAAAAATGTTGAAAAAAATGCATAACAATATAAACTGGAAAATAATTCAAAATCTGTGAGATTTGTCAGAAAAAAATGGGTACTTATTTTATATTGAAAACCTGTTTATAGTAGTTTTTCTTCTAAAACATAATAAAGACAAAGAGGTCACCAAACAAAAATATATATAATTGCTGTTAAGTAATTGTAATAAATAAATATGGACATCTTCCCCCCACTCTTATGACCGTCTACAAGAGCCTCAAGAGTGACTCTGCAAGTGGCATGGGCATCTAAGAAGGATATGGCACTCTCTCCACCTCTTTAACTTTTTAACCTTTTAATTTTTAACTTTTTTAGTACTCTTTTTAATTCTGATTTTAATTATGCTTTTACATTAATGTGTGATGTTTATTTGTAAATCACCTAGTGTTATTCCAGTGAGATGGGCAGTGTAGAAATTTGATCATAAATATGAATAAGATGTGCTTTCACCCAGTTATAGCCAGCATTAAAAAATATTTTTGTAAAGAATTTGTCTTTTGTTTATGAAGCACATTTCTTTTGCTGAAAACACTACTGAGTGAAATGTAAAGGTCATTAAGTGGGCTTATTGTTGCCTGAAAACCTCTCATTTCAGACCTCACAGAACAATGTGTTTTGAACTAATTTTTAAAAAATGAAACGAAAAGCGTCATTTTATATAATTATTTTCTCTCAATTCTTTATTAGATGCTTTATTTGAAGTTTGTTTTAAAAAATCAGCTAAGTATAGAAAATCTTTAGTATTTAAATAGAAATGATAAATAATGAAAGTTTTCAGATAAAAATTCAGTGCAAAATTATTTTTAAAAAATGACTTGCCCGTATGAGCAAAATTATACTGAAGCCATTGAAATGTGTTTCTTCCTCCTGTCTTGGAAAACCATCAAATTAAGAGTTGATGAAGAAGAATAGCAATAGCAATAGCACTTAGATTTATATACCGCTTCATAGTCAGCATATTGCACCCAACAATCTGGGTCCTCATTTTACCCACCTTGGAAGGATGGAAGGCTGAGTCAACCTTGAGCCGGTGAGATTTGAACTTCTGAACTGCAGCGAGCAGACAGCTGAAGTAGCCTATAGTACTGTACTCTAACCACTGTGCCACCTGGGAATAGCTAAATAGAACTGGTATCTCATCTAAAGTGAGGGAATGGCAATTTGAAATAATATAAATCCTTGGAATATAATTCTTCAACATATCTGCTAAAAATAGCATCACTGGACAGTGCAATAAAATGTGCAATTTATGCATTATATTGGGGCGTCCCCCAATAAAATACACCTATTCATTCCTGGTTTTTCACAGCAAATATAGTATAATAAATCATCCTTTTGAGGACTATATGAAGAAAGCCAGAACAGTGAATGACTGAAATATCCTAATATTTAAGGAAGGTTCATATTTTATGTAGGCAAAAATTCACCTGTGCAGAATGTTTGGAAATCAGTAATTTTTTTAAAAAAGTAATGTGTAAGTTAGGCAAACATTTATCTACACATTATCTGAATCCAGAACTAAGTCTGGTTGAAGGTCCTTCATTATATGAAGCAGCCACATCATATTTGCACAAAAGTTGGGTAAAAATTACATTTCTAACTTAATTTTTTTTATCTGTAAAAATGTTTCATATCATTACTAGAGTTACCGGAGGTGAATTATTTGAAGATATTGTTGCAAGAGAATATTACAGTGAAGCAGATGCAAGGTTAGTGCTAAATTTTTTAAAAAAATCATCTGGGTGTTCTCTAAATTTGATAAACAAACTAAAAATAAATTTAGTGTGATACCCTGAGGCAAATTACAGTAACCATTCTTAAATCTCAATCTTGGAAAACAGTACTCATTTACCATACTGGGATTCCACCTGTTTGCGTTTTTCAAAGAGTCTATTTAGAGATATTTCTTTCCACAATGTATTTCCCATTGGAATATTACCAAATGGGAATTTGGTTCTACAAATAAATGTGCCATTATTATTCAATGAGTTGTATCAATACTTCTTTCCTCTTACGTTACATTTCCTCTATCATTAGACTAAAGCAACATGATGGTAGTGAAGTATGATTTTTCTTCCTTCAAATCCCACCCCAAAGATATTACCTTACAAAATGATTTTGTAGAAGCTCAACTATTCCTGAGGGGGAAAAGAAAAAAAATAGGTATGGGAGTGATTGATTTGCTCATGTAGGAAGTTTCATACTAGTTTTTATTGGAATTTTAGAAAGGAAAAGGGTGATACCTCTGGTATCTAAATAATATACAGAATAACAGAGTTGGAAGGGACCTTGGAGGTTTTCTAGTTCAACCCGCTGCTCAGGCAGGAAACCATATACCATTTCAGACAAATGGCTGTCCAATCTCTTTTTAAAAACTTCCAGTACTGGAACATTCACAGCTTCTGGAGGCAAGTTGTTCCACTGGTTAATTGTTGTAACTGTCAGGAAATTTCTTCTTAGTTCTAGGTTGCTTCTCC